GCCCCAGACAGACCCGAGGGGTATAAGAAGTGCAGATCCCCTTGGAGAAGGGGTGGAGTCATTTGTGAAATGAATGGTTTCTTGTCTTAAAGAGAGGGGTGTGGGTGTGTGGTGTGCACATGTGCGCGCGCGTGTCTGTGTGTATGGAGGGGGGCGTGGGGCGACTTTTTGGGATAAGAAAGCAGTTGTCCAGCTGATGAAAGAAGAGTTGGGGACTAGGATCAGAGATCCCCGCCGCCTCCCCTGCCTTCAGGGCCATCTCTGGCCTGGGGGGCGGGGGCAGGATGCCACCTTTGCTCCGGCCACGCGTCCTCGGATGCTCCCCTTCTCGTGGCCTTGCCCACTGCCGTGTCCTTCCCTGCGGGTGTGCTTCCATCTCTGCTGGCTGTCCCTCCTCTCTTCTCGGCCCTGGTCTTCCTCCCCAGGGGAAGCCTCTCTGCACTTGCCCTGACTCCTGTCTGTCCCCTGCCTGCTGTGCCCTCTTACTGTCTGGGAGGGGCACGGAGGCAGGGCAGCATGGCAGGCTGAGTCAGCCCTGGAATCTCTGCCTCCACACTCTGGGTCCCTTGCAGAACCCCCAGCCCGAGGGCCCAGACCCCTCACCCGGCCCAGACAAGGTGGGGGCTCATCTTGCCAGGGCCGGGGGGCTTGGCATTTATGAAGTCACAGGCCCCAGGAGGCTGGTCCGCACCTGATGTTTTCCTCTGGCTCTTTACTATAGGAGATGCCAAGACTTGGAGGCCCTGGGGAGCTGAGATATAACAGGCCGACTGACCAGGGTGCGACTCTCTCCTTAGGCACATGCTGGCTGTTTTATCTTGGGCAAGTTACTCAGCCTCTCTGAGCCTCAGCTTTCAGGTCTATGAAATGGAGCCAATAATGCCCATCCAGATAGTGTTCTTGTAGGTAAAAGAAAACCAAGAAAGGGAAAGGATCCAGTCAAGTCTATGACACAGGCAGGATCAGAATAGATTTCAGCGTCTTCCCCTCTAACTTTCCCCGGCAGTCAAGCCAGAGCCTTGGAGAAGTTCCAGCCATGGGCAGGCGACGGATGCTCTGTCCCCCAGATATTGTACAAGGACCCCACACTTCCTGCTAGCTTCTGGGAGGATGGGGGAGGGAGAGATGGTCTCTTCAGGCTGTTGTTTTGTTCCCAGTGGCTTCCACCCACCCCAGTAGTGGGGCTGCCCTCAACCAGTGCCCAGAGCAGCTTAATCTGCGGTGAGGGTTCCTATTGACTCAGTCCATGGCAACTCAGAGACTCTCCAACCTAAATCTTTAAGATGTTAGGGCGTTCATTACCTTGTCTGTCTCAGGGTTACCAGGCCTTTCCCCGCCTGTGATTATCTGCACCCAGGACAGTGGCAGGTGTGAGAGTGGCAGGTCTGGGCTCTGGGGGTGATGGAACGTCGCAACATCTTTGCCTTTGTCCAGCTTGTGGGGGAAATGAAGAGACTGCAGAGCTCCTTCAGTCAAGGGCAGCAGTGTCACGGGTGATCCCCACCCAGCCTAGCCCCGATGCACAGGGCTCTGACTGTGACATCCAGGAGGCCCCTGGAGGTGGCAGGGACACCTGAGGCCAGAGGGGCCTCCGGAGCACCTGAGTCTGTGCTTCTCCCACTGCCCCTTGGAGCCAGAGGCCTGGGTCAGAGGAAAGGGTGGGTTCGAGGCCACACCACTAGAGTTATAACCAGATTGGGAGCCAGGTACTGGAGGAGGTAGGATGGACACAGAGGGGATCCTGGGGTTGGGGGCAGCAGGCACAGAACTAGAGGGGGAAAAGCAGGTGCCCCGTGGGACACCAGGAGGAGCAACGTGGCTATTTGGGACTCAGGAGCAGACTGATGAAGGGCCTCACCCTCCAGCTCTAGGCAGTAGGACTCGGAGCAGGTGGTGCCCGTGGTGACCAAGTGCCCTCTGCGTGGTGGGCTCTGGGGTGCTTTCAGTAGCTGGTGTCTGGACCTTCAGAAAGCAGGGATCATCAGTTTTGCCCTCCTTCCCTGTTTGCATTGTGTTGCATTTCGCAGATGGGAAGCCCACGAGGCCAGGCCTTCCTCCGCAGCCAGAGGGGGGGCACTGCGTGTCCTGGCCCCTGCTCTGTCCAGTTCCCACAGGCCGTGGAGAGGGCTGAGAGGCAACTTGCCTTTCACCTCTATGGCTGGAGCTCCTCAGGGCTTCGGAGAGGAAACAGCTTGCTGCCCCACCCGCCCCTTTAGCCAGCTGGCAAGCGGGACCTGTGGTCCTCGGGCCTGGCTGCATGCCCTGGTCTGTGCCCCGGGCCTCTCTGGGCCTCAGTTTCTCCATCTGGACCGTGCGAGTGGTTGGGTCAGCTGTTTGCTCCGTCCTTTCATCCTGAATCGGGGCTAGGGGAAGGGAGCTGGGGCGGCCAGGAGGGACAGGCCGGAGCACTCTAGGGAGGGAGAGGCGGTGAAGGGGAGAGCTCTGACCTAGCTTCCCTGACCCGGAGCTGCCTGCACCACAGAAGCTGTGACCCTCCTGGGGTGGGGGGTGCGGGGGTCGGGCTGCCAGGGAGAGGACAAGCCGCTCAGAGGCCTCTGGAGGCCCAGGGATGCCTGAGGGGTCTCCCGTGGGCAGTGCAGTGTGGCCACAAGATGGGGGAGAGGCTGTTCAGGGTGTAATTAATGCGCTTTTTGGCACCCACTAGACTTCCCCTTCCTCTTGACAGTTTGCTGCCAAAACAGTCCCGATTCCTGTGAACTTGCTTAAATCTTATCCAGAAAAAAGAAAAAAAAGAAAAGAAAAGAGAAAGAAACAAGCAAAAAGAAAGAACGGGGGGGAAAAAATGAAGAGGGTTGTTATTTGTGAAATTGCATTTCCCAGCCATGAGGGTGAGTCACACCATTTGGAGCTTGGAGTTTCTTGTTTGGATGAACTTTTCTCTGGGAGGCTGTCCTCCCTCAGGCCAGTTTGGGTGGGGAGAGGCCTCCAGTCAAGCTAAGGAGAGACCTCGGTGGTTGGAAAGTCCAGGTGCTCCCAAGGCCAGGTAGGGCTGGGCCAGTCTGGACAGACTGCTCCTGGGAGCTTTAAATTGCAGATCCGGGCTGGGGGGGGTTGAGAGGGGAGGAGATTGGAGGGAGCGGGGGAGGGTTAGTGTTTCATGGGGAGAGGGTTTCAGTTTGGGACGATGAAAAAGCCCTGGAAGCGGGTGGTGGTGATGGTTACACAGTAACGGGAATGTATTTCACGACACAGAACTGGACCCTTAAAAAAAAATAAACTATTAAAATGGTTGATCTTATGTGACGTATTTCTTACCACAATAAAACTGTAGGTTCCAGGCTCTTGGTCCCAGGTGACTGCTTGGGTAGGTCTGAGGTTGGGCCTAGAAAACTGTCTTTGTTAGAAGTTTCTCAAGTCATTTGATACAAGTTTGAACATAGTTGCCTCATCTGTAAAATGGGGACAGTGACTCATAGGGGTTGGGACGAGCATCAGCTCTCTTCACGCGTGTGCAGTTTCTAGTGCCCAGGACATCGTAAGTGCGCGGTAGATGCGACTGGTGTCATTGAATCCCATTGCCATTGGACCCCTCCACACGCCCCCGAGGGTTGGCCAGCATCGGCTCGCACGCCTCCGGGGATGGGGGACCCTCTGCCCGTCGGGGTGGACCACTCTGTCTTGGCTCATCCGTGAGCTGGAGAATCACCCTCACCCTGAATGCAGGCTGGTGTCGGACTTTCCACTGGTGCTGGCTTTCATGGTAGCACTGGGCACTGGTAGAGCAGAGATGGTCAGCAGGAGGCCTCGAGTTTTGCGCCCAGATGTCATGGGCTGACTGTGTGTGTGGCCTGGGCTGCCCTGGACGTGTGTCTGTGTCTTTTTTTTTTTTTTTTTCTTTTTTTCCCCCAGATCCTAGGATCTAGTCTCCACCTATAGGAGAGGGAACAGAGGCCCAGAGAGGGAAAGGATGGGCCACAGGCCACATAGCAGGGTGTCCAGGCAGTCGGAAGAGTGTGGCCCCCAGATGGTGAGGGCTGTGTCCTCTAGGAGGGAATGCCAGACCCCCAGAGAGGGAACAAGTGGGGCGGCTGAGGTGTGTGAGGGGTGCGCTGCTCTCTGCCCCCCTCCCTCCCTGCCCACACTGGGGACACGGAAAGGACTGTGCCCGCTCTGAGCCTCCATCTGCCCTACCTTCGTAAGGGACCCAAGGCAACTTCCTCGTGGTGGGGGAGCTCTCTTCCCCTCGTGGCCTGGGGACTTCCAGGAACAAGGCCGCCTCCCCATGAGAGCCAAGGCTCCCCAGGGTCTATGGTTCACCCCCCGCGTCCTTGAGTGCCTGCGCTGGGACCAGAGGATGCCCAGGCCCCATGCCCAGGTTTGTCATTGGCCCTCCTGGAGAAGCTGCCTCCTGACAGCCTTGGCCTTGCACCAGGAAAAGGCGACCATGGCTGTCCCCTGCCAGCCTCCCCACAGGCCCCACCTTTGCTAAATTCCAGTTGGGCCTGGCCGCCCAGAGCCCGTGACTCCTATAAATAGAGGCTGTATGCACCAGGAGGGGGCCTGGGCCGCGTCTGCTTTGAAGCCAGGCAAGACATCTGGTTCCTGTCAACTGGAGGTGGGAGACGTGGGGGAGGTGGGCCACTTCCGCCCGGGCTCCCCCAGGGCAGACCCGGGTGGCCTCGGGCTCCCCGCATGCGGCGTGCGCAGGCCTCGAGCCACAGGACACCGCGCGGAGCCCCGAGCCTCAGTCTTCTCTCCTGTACAATGGAAACAAAACTCCAAGCCGATGCGCCTCTTTCTTGTAAGATGGGGAAACTGAGTCAGGAGATAACGTGACCTCACTGTAGCCTCCCCCTGGAAACCCTAGAGGTAGCTGACATGGCTCCTGTTTCCCGGATGGGGCCGTGGCCCGGAGAGGGAATGGGCTCGCCCTTGGAGGTGGGGTGTGAACTGAGCAGGCGGGAATTCCCGGGTGTGCTGTGCACGCGTGTGCCCGAGGGCGTTTCCTGGGGGAGCCCTCACGCCTGTGTCCCCCGCAGGCGCTGAGCAGCAGCGTGTACAAGAGCGCCTCGCCCTACGGCTCCCTCAACAACATCGCCGATGGCCTCAGCTCCCTCACCGAGCACTTCTCGGACCTGACCCTCACCTCGGAGACCCGCAAGCCCAGCAAGCGCCCCCCCCCCAACTACCTGTGCCACCTGTGCTTCAACAAAGGACACTACATCAAGGACTGTCCCCAGGTAAGGCAGCCGCCTTCTCTGGGTGGAAGGCGTGCGACGGCCCCCGCCCCAGGGCCCCTGCCACGAGCACGTGGCCGCGTGGCCCCCTGGCCTCCACGTCTTTGTCCCTCTGGTATTTCCGAGGCTGGCTGGTGGGGATGGGACGGAGCCCCAGCTTGGGGCTGCGCTGGCTAGTGAGGGGCCCTGGGCGAGGGGCCCCCAGCCCAGGTTCGGGGCCCTCACATCTCCACCAGCCTTCTGCGGGGTGGGTCCTGTTACAGTGGGGCAGGATGGGGGCCAGCGGCCTCCTCGCAGCTCTCCCGAGAGAGACCCCATCTCCTCACACTCACAGGGAAGGAATGCGGGCTCTGGGCCAGGAATCCAATGTGCACCCCCTCCCCCAGACCCCACCTCTCCCTCCTCTGTGGCAGTGCTTGCTCGGTCTCCTGCCTGTGAGGGAGGAGGGGAGAGGGCCTTGCCCCTGACTTTGTGCCCCCAGCGTAGGTCTGGGTGGAGGCCTGAGGCGCCGCAGGCCGGGCATCTCTCTTGGGGTGGGAAGGGGGCCCCGTCTCCCACCCAGTGCTTCGTTCTGACGGGGTGGGGCTCCTGGGGGCAGATCCCCTCACTCGGAGATAACCCCTGACTCTGACAGATGTGGCCTTGGGATCCTGGGGAGAGAGGTTAGGGCTGTTTGAAGTACAGTACAAGATGATCGGGGATTCTTTTTCCTGTTATTTTTTCATATTTTCTGATGTTTTTATAATGTGTATTTTTACTTTTATTTTACGTATGTAATGGAAATGGGATCCTGGAAACTCAGAAAATCCATGTAGTCGTACCCTCCAGATGTTACAATCCCAGGGTGCGGTTGGGTGGGGCTGGGTGCCTCCGGGCCAATGGAAGGCCGAGATGTGCTCGTTGCTCATTGCTCTTCTCAGAGCTGGCTGTGCCATGCCGCAGGTCCTCCTCGCTGCATGAAGTGTGGCCAGGCACAGCTGCATCAGTGTCGCCTGGGAGCGTGTTAGAAATGCAGAATCTTAGGCCCAACCCATGACTGTGTTTTAGTAAAAGTCCCAGTGATTTGAGTATACCGGTGATCTCAGCCTCCCGCCACCCTCGGTCAAGAGAAGCCCGCCCCCGCCCCTGAATGCGGGAGCTGGCCCGCTGGAAGCCGTCCTCCAGACCCACACCCCAGTGGGCCACGTCTGCCCTCGGTGTAGGTGCCCGGAGATCTCAGCACAGAGAAAGGCCCCCAGCCCCCAGGGGTTCTCTGAGTGGGATGAGAACCAAACAGGCAGCTAAGCATCTGGTTGGTCCTCAAGGATGTGCCCCTGGCCCACCCAGGCAGCAGCCCCTTGTACCATCCCCGGCTGAGCCCCCGCGAGGGGACTCTCAGTCATCTACCATACCTTGGAAACGTCCCTTGTCATCTCCTGCCTGTCGCTTGTGGGAGTCAGGTACTCGCACAGGCCCATTGAGCCAGTCCGGGGAGGAGCTGGAATTTTAACCCTGGCTGGCAGGTGACACTCAGACACCCGCAGTGGCTCTGGAGGCTCCGAGGAGGTGTACCCATGCCGAGTGGGCAGCCTGGGAAAGCCTCCAGGAAAAGGAGGGCTTGAGTGGGCTTGGCAGGTTGCTGGAAGAAGGGTGGCCAGTCTCCGGAGGCAAAGGAGGATGAGGCAGAGGAGGAGGGGTGGTGAGGGTGAGTGTGTGAGTGTGCACGTCTGGTCAGCCCTCTCTCCAGAAGGGGTCAGAGCTCTTTTAAATGTGGGGGCAGAGGGTCCCTGACCTCAGTGCCTCTCAATTTCCACCATGGTGCAAACCTCGGTTCTTCCTTTATGTGGATTCCATAGCGGGTTCACTTGTGCCGAGCTCTTCACTCTGCTGCAGAAGGAACACCAGCCCCGTTTACAGGTGAAGACACAGAGTCTCAGAGAGCTGAGTGCTGGCGAGAGGGAGGAATGTCTGTGACCCAGGCTTGGGACTTCAGTGCCCTTTGCATTCTTGAGCATCCATACCAGTCCAGGCTGAGACGCCCATGGCCGGTGGGGCCTCAGTTTACCTCTGAAGCTGGTAGAGGCCCTCTTCCAGCTCCACTGCAAACCTGATTCTATCAGAGACTCCTGTGGGCCCAAGGGCCACCCTCCACCTTTCATGAGGGTTTCATCATCTGTAAAACTAACACATAGAATTTATTGTGAGGATTCAAAGAAGTAATGCATGGAAAGTGCTTAGCACGGTGTCTGGCATACAGTAAGCACTCAATAAATGTTGGCTAGCATTATTTTTTTTTTCTCCCTTGGGTAACAGTGGAGAGTGTGCCTATTTGGTGAGGTACTAGGCATTTTGGCAGGCTGGAACGTAATTAGATGTTCCCCACCCCTCACCTGACCCCGAGCTCCAGGGGCAGGTGCTGGCCTAGCTTCATCTCTGTACCCCGCATGCTGGCTCAAGATACGGCACACAGCGGGTGCTCCGTATAAAGTTTTCTGGAATGAAGGAATGGACAGACAGGGCTTTTATAAGCCATGGAAACCTCTGTTTCAAATGAAATATGAGTTCAACATATATGATAGTTAAAAGTAGAGAGGGAGGGACGCCTGGGTGGCTCAGCAGTTGAGCATCTGCCTCCGGCTCAGGGCATGATCCTGGACTCTCGGGATCTAGTCCCACATCGGGCTTCCCACATGGAGCCTGCTTCTCCTCCCACTGCCTATGTCTCTCTGCCTCTGTCTGTATCTCTCATGAATAACTAAATAAAAGCTTTAAAAAGAAAAGTGGAGAGGGAATGCTTGTTTTGAGATATAATTCACAGAACACGTGATCAACCCATTTGAAGTGTGTAAGTCAGTGATTTTCGGTATATTCTCAGAGCCACTCAACCATTACCTCAGTCAACTATAGAACATTTTTAAAAAAGATTTTATTTAGTTAAGTAATCTCTACACCCAATGTAGAGGCTTGAACTCATGACCCCAAGATCAGGAGTCACATGCTTTACCAACTCGGCCAACCAATTGGTGCCCCAATTGTAGAACATTTTTATCACCTCAGAGAGAAACCTCATACTCTAGCTATCACCACCCCCTGGCTCCCCAACCCCTAGCAACCAATAATCTACTTTCTATCTCTATAGATTTGCCTATTCTGGACATCTCGTATAGACAGAACCATATAACACGTGGTCTTTTGTCCCTGGGTTCTTTTTTTAATATATTTTTTAATTTTTATTTATTTATGATAGTCACACACAGAGAGAGAGAGAGAGGCAGAGACACAGGCAGAGGGAGAAGCAGGCTCCATGCACCGGGAGCCCGACGTGGGATTCGATCCCGGGTCTCCAGGATCGCGCCCCGGGCCAAAGGCAGGCGCTAAACCGCTGCGCCACCCAGAGATCCCGTCCCTGGGTTCTTTTATTTAGCATATTGCTTTCAAGGTTCATCCATGTACAAGGTAGCATTTAATCGGTTCCATGATTTGGGAAGTGTTCCATCCTGTTCTATGTCCTGGAAGAGTTTGTGAAGAATTAATAATTCTTCTTTGAATATTTGATAGAATTCACCCATGAGGCCATCTGTACTTGGGCTTCCCTTTGTGGGGTAGATTTCTAAAATTATGAATTCAGTCTCTTTTTGTGTTAGAGGTCTATTTGGATTTTCCGTTTCTTCTTGGGTCAGTTTCTGTCGTTTGTGTATTTGTAGAATTTGTCTGTTTCATCTAAATTGTCAAATTTATTGGCATGCCGTTGTTCCTAATATTCTCATAATCCTTGTCATTTCAGTAAGGTTGGTTATAATGCCCCCCTCCTTTATTTCTGATTCTTGTAATTTGAATCTTCGCTCTTCTTTTTCGTGGTCAGTCTAGCTAACGGTTTGTCAGTTACGTAGAACTTTTCAAAGAACCAACTTTTGGTTTAGTTGATCTCTTGCACCCGTTTTTGGTTCTCCATTACGTTAGTTTCCACTCTAATCTTTTAAAAAAAATTGTGGTAAAACATGTGCAACATGAAGTTTACCATTTCAACTATTCTTACATGTACAATGTAGTGGCATTAAGTACAGTTGACTCTTGAACTACATTGGTTTGAACTATGTGGGTCCACTTGTGCACAGATTTTTTTTTTCAGTACAATAACTATTTTCTTTATGATTTTCAAAATAACATTCTCCCTTTTCTAGCAAACTTTATTATATAGAGCATAGAATACATGTAATATACAAAATATGGGTTACTTGACTATTTTTGTTATGGGTAAGGGTATTAGTAGTTAAGTTTTGGGGGAGGCAAGAGTTATACACACAGATTTTTGACTGCTCTTGGTGGGGGTTGGTACCTCAACCCCCATATGGTTCAAGAGCCAACTCTACATTCACATTGCAGGGCAACCATCACCATCATCCATCCATGAAACTCTCTTTATTTTGTGAAACTCTTTACCCATTAGGCAATAACCCCCTCTCTTTCCCTTCCCTAGCACCTGGCAACTACCATTCTACTTCCTGTTGCTATGAATTTCACTCCTCTAGGGACCTCATATAAGTGGAATCACACAGGATTTGTTGTTTTGTGTTGGCTTATCTCACTTGACATGTCCTCAAGGTTCATTCATGTTGTAACAAGTTTCAATTTTTCCTTTCTTTTTTTAAGGCTGAATAATATTCCAGAGAGTGTGTGTATGTGTGAGTGTGTGTAGACCACATGTTGTTTATCTTTGTCCATCAGTGGACAACTGGATTGCTTCCACCTTCTTGGTGTTGTGAATACTGCTGTTAGGAACATGGGTGTGCAGATAACTCTTTGAGTCTTTCTTCCAGTTCTTCATTCTCATCTTTTATTATTTACTTCCTTCAGCTTGTTTTAGGTTTAGGTTTGTTTGCCGTTTTTCATCCAGTTTCTTGAGATGGAAAGTTAGGTCACCTATTTTACATCTTTCTTCTAGAGGTATAAACTTTCCTCTGAGCTGCATCCCATAATCCTGTATGTTGTATCTTCCTTTTTCATTCATCAGAGTATTTTCTGAT